GTGTGTGTGTGTATGTGTGTGTGTGTGCGTGTGTGCGTGTGTGTGTGTTTGTGCGTGTATGTATGTATGTGTATTTATATATATGTACTATTATTTATTGGGAATAAGACTCTTAGACATACCCGCCGGTACTCTTCTTGTTGAGTGCAGCTGCTTGCATCTTCTGCATACTTTGAGCCAGTTGGGCGTCCACCAACGCCAAGTTGGCGAGTGTGCTTATACTGCTCACACTATCTGTGCTCACACGTACGTCGGCGGCCGTAACTTTGGCGTTGTCATTTGATTCAGAATAATCGGAATTACTGTGTGTGTAGATGATTGTGTGTGTGAGAATGTGGATTCCATTCATGTTAATCATGTATTGTAAATTATCTGGTGGATTGTGTAATATCTGTTGTGTATCGTATATTGCATGTTTTATGTTATGTGCTGTAAGGTGCTGTGTGCTATGTGTTGTGTGTTGTGTATTGTAGGCTAATTGTTTTGTGTTGTGTGCTGTCACAGTTTATTCTCACAGACTGTGCGCATACTGCTCGCTTGGCCTGTAGGGCATGTAATTTTTATTGAACCATATGTAATAATCGCAATATCATTCACAATCGATACACTAATAGGTGCAGTATCGGTTCATTAAGTGCGGAATCAGCATCATACACACATAAGGTTTGACATACTGTGATGTGTAAACTGACATAGGCTTTAAGAAAAGATTCGGCCGGCTTTTTATAACAGATTGAAGGGGAAGTCCTATCGCACACACGCAAACCACGCAACTTCCATTGGTTATCAAATTCGCTTGCCAATTGCAGAGAGTCTAGCCAGATCAACGCTTGTGACAACACTAAGTTGTCACTTGAAAGATAAAACTCAAACGAGCATATAAGCTTGATTTAGTTCCGATATTAATACACACACACGATCTCGCTCAATGCTATATACAACTACACAACAATCCGTCGACATGTCAGGTTGCATCATGTCGATTGAAGAAGGTTTAACTAGATATGCGCCATTGGAATAAGGATGCCAACATCAAGTTGTCAATAAAGAGGCGATCCATCCAGGCAAATAAGCTCGATTTAGATGCGATATTGATCATACACACATATCTTACACAACACCATATACATCTAGCTATCTTCAACACCAACCTGTCAACTGAAGGGAGCTTTAACCAGGCGAAGACCACAGGGTTCAACGGGATGTCAAGCAGGCGATTGTCATACAGTGCACGTGCGAGCAACATGCCCATCGCATGGAACAGAGACGTCGAATACTGCCAACGCTCGGCTGTAGCATCCGTAGCTGTTGGTTGCTGAGACTTTGCCTTGTCCGTGGAGGTAGGTAAATCCTTTGGCGATTTCTCATTGGCTGAGAGTGTAGTGGGTGAAGGTGTGGATGTATGTGCGATTGAGAATGAGATCACGATCAACTAATTGCCACTATCTGATGCGTGTGCACTGGTTACAGCATCTGAAGGGACTGTGGTGTAGGTAAATTCCTTGGCGACTTCTCATTGGCTGAGAGTGTAGAGGGTGGTAAGTGTAGAGTGTTGCCATTGAATGACAAAAAATTATTCCAAGTGATTAAAAAAAACTTTTGGTCACTTCAGAATCTGTATTCACTTTTGTCATAACACTTCAAAAAAACGCAAATCATGTTTGGTGGCTGAACATACCAATGACTACAGGTTCAGGTCTTGGGAATAACCCACACATGGACTTGACACACTCCTTCGTTTCTTCACTGGCCGCACTTGCTGTTGGTTGACAAGCCATAGACATGGGACGAATTAGGGTATGAATACTATAGTAGTTTACTTTTAACTAGGGAATTAGTATAGTAGTAGACAGCTAGTTTAATTTAGGGTATGCAAAGTATAGTAGTATACAGTTAGTTACAATTAGGGTATCAATAGTATAGTAGTAGACAGTTAGTTTGTACTTGTAAGCAATTACTCGAACCAGGTCGTAAATCAACCCGAAAAAGACAACTGACGTTTTCGTTCCAAAAGTGCATAGCGAGAAACAGTGCAATGGGCCAGGCCAGGCAAAACATAACTATACGTAGATATTGGTATGATGGTCAACAATGGCCATGTATACATAACTATACGTGGACATTGGTACGACGGTCAACAATGGCAATATACACATAACTATACGTGGACATTGGGTTGTTAATGGCAATGTATACATAACTATACGTGGACATTGGTACGACGGTCAACAATGGCAATATATACATAACTATACGTGGACATTGGTACGACGGTCAACAATAGAAATGTACACATAACTATACCTGGACATTGGGTTGTTAATGGCAATGCATACATAACTATACGTGGACATTGGTACGACGGTCAACAATGGCAATGTACACATAACTAAACGTGGACATTGGTACGATGGTCAACAATGGCAATGTACACATATCTATACGTGGACACTGGGCTGTTAATGGCAATGTATACATAAATATACGTGAACATTGGGCTGTTTGACTCGTTCACTACCATCAGCATCTCGCCGTATTTTGGCCCGCGGTGTTGGAACTCCTTCGGTGCCAAAGGCTACACTCGTGTGACATGTTAATTAACAACAACACTCATGGCACACTTCACATATCACATGACGTACGAACATCAACACATCATAGACGGCAGCACAGTACTATATCAATACCATACCATCGGCACATCAACACATCATAGACGGCAGTACAGTAGTATATCTATACCATACCATCGGCACATCAACACATCATAGACAGCAGTACAGTAGTATATCAATACCATACCATCGGCACATCAACACATCATAGACGGCAGCACAGTACTATATCAATACCATACCATCGGCGTCTCTCCATATCTTGAGATCACGGCGTTGGAACTCTTTCGATGCCAAACAGTAGAACTCCAAAGTGGGCCCCAGGCCCGTCCCCACCTCATCGACAAACTCAATATCAATAATCGACCGATAATCACCTAATTTGGTCAACATCTGATAGACAAATGTAACAATGCAGCAGTAATCTGTCATCAGCTGTCATGCAGCATAACGTGTGTTTGTGGATAACGTGCGAAAGGGCGTGTGCTAAGGCAGACTGCACAAGCATTGGGTTAGCAGGAACGGGTTGGGTAGTCTCATTTAGTGTTAGACTCGAAATCGCTAATCACCCGATGGTCGCCTAATTTGGATAACAACTGATTGAGGAAAACCAAGCTGTAAAGAAATATCCAGCACGACTATGGATCAGGCAGGGTCAGTATCTCATTTTTGAGACCCAAAATGCCAATTCGTTCAACAACAAACAAAAAATCCTAAAATTCGAATGTGTCCTTGCTTTTCTTGCGCTCGAACATGTCTAATCTCAAATTTAGATAACGGTATAAAACTTGCAAATCGTACAACGTATACGTAAGGTCGACTATATGAATACGTATGTATTGCGCTATATATGCATGATATCATACTACACAAATCTTAAAAACACATAAACCAATCCTCAAACCCGCATGTGACATGCGCGCGTATGCACGACAGCCAAGGTCTCGGGCTGAATTCTTTCACATACAACAATTGACTCTGCCCCACAAGCAGCACATACATCGCTAACCAAGTCTATCAAATTTCACAGAACATGGACATTTCACAGAACATGGACATGAACGCACATGGACTGTTTGTTAATTAGAAAAAGCGCAACCTCTTAAGAATACACACCATAGACTGCATTCCACATGGCATATGCATAGTCACACATTGACACGCATCATGAACAGCGTGTTGCTCGACATAAGCGTAGTCTCACCATGAATAATGAATACAGACAGTTTGTTATTTGATATACGCATAGTCTCACATTGAATACAGAGGTTAGGGTTTTGAGGGTTTAGGTTTTGAATACAGAGGTTAGGGTTTTAGGGTTTTTGATATAAGCGTAGTCTCACCTTGAATACAGACTGTAGCAAGTGCTGTCGTCTTACGCGTGCCTTGATGCGCGCTGTGTGCGTAAACCTGTCGGCCGTTAATCTGTGAAGGGCACTACCAGTACGCCTGTGAAGTGTAAAAGGATAGGGTATTCAGTACCAATGACATGCGGAAAGGTAACTAGATGAAGTGTAAAAGGACAGAGAAATCAGTACCAATGACATGCGGAAAGGTAACTAGATGAAGTGTAAAAGGATAGGGAAATCAGTACCAATGACATGCGGAAAGGTAACTAGATGAAGTGTTAAAGGATAGGTAAATCGGTACCAATGACATATGGAAAGGTAGCTAGATGAAGTGTAAAAGGATACGGAAGTCAGTGCCAATGGCATACGGAAAAGAGGTACCTAGATGTGTAGTGGATTGGACGATGCATATAGACATGGCCATTATGTACTGCTGTAGTCACTCGTATGAGAGGAACATCGCACACATTAACGAGCAAACACTATACACACCGTTATATACCGTGTGCATAGTTGCTTAAGTCGTAGCATAGTTTGTATTTAGATCGAATATACCTACCCGCTTACACTCATCATCAATCGTGCGGATCGAGGGATGCCTAGGTACATGGTCATCTATCCAGCTGTAGTCACTCGTCTGAGAAACAACATTGCTCACACCTACAAGCATGCACCCTACACAAACAGCGCCACACTCCCGTATACTTGTTTAGTATCAATACACTCTACACAAACAGCGCTACACTCCCGTACACTTGTTTAGTATCAATACACTCTACACACACCACGCCACACTCCTCTATACCTATATAGTATCAATACACTCTACACAAACAGCGATACACTGCCGTACACTTGTTTAGTATCAATACACTCTACACAAACAGTGCGACACTCCTGTACACTTGTTTAGTATCAATACACTCTACACAAACAGCGCTACACTCCCGTACACTTGTTTAGTATCGTTGGAGTACAGCTACAGCACACATACCCGCTTGCACTTATCATCTTCTGAGTGGATCGAGGGATGCCTATGTACATGGCCATCATGTACTGTCGTCGGCACTCGTACGAGAACAGGAAACCAAACTTGTGCATTAGCGCACCCACCCACTGCGGCAGACACCGTGACGCCAACGACAGAGGATCAGCCAACTGCTGCGTAACCTGTGTGTGAGTGCGTGTGTGTGCGTGTGTGTGTGTGTGAGTATACAATGTCCAATGGTGAACGTGATGAGTGTGCACGTGTATGTGAGTACATATGCATGCAGGTGTGATGTTTGCAGTTATAAAGGCGTATGTGCCGAGTGTGTACGTGTATGTGAGTACACATGCATGCGGGTGTGATGTTTTCAGGTATAAAGGCGTATGTGCCGAGTGTGTACGTGTATGTGAGTACATATGCATGCGGGTGTGGTGTGTGCGGGTATAAAGGCGTATGTGACGAGTGTGTACGTGTATGTGAGTACATATGCAATCGGGTGTGATGTGTGCAGGTATATTGGGGTGTGATGAGTGTGTATGTGTATGAGTATGTGACGAATGTGCACGTGTATGTGAGTACATATGCAT